GAACATTGCGTGTAATTTATTCTTTGTCCGCTCACCCTTTTTCTCCTTTCTTTTCTCCGCGCGCACGCTTCGGATCACTCCCTCTTTCTCTCTCTCTCTCTCTCGGGGATAAAAAAACGAGTTTCTCGTATGAATTAGACGTCCCTTTGAATTATCGCGTTTCCCTACCTGACTCTCGTGCTGCAGGGGTCATTGTCTTTATAATCCTTCCAGTTCTCGTTTCGGACGCGTCGTACCCGTGATTTACGTGAATTCTATTACGTCTCGTTTCATTCGTATCACCGCGTTAAATCCTTTTTTTCTCTTCTTCTTTTTACACCAGTTACGAAATAATTCCTGATACTTTTCAAGTTCGTAGGTTTCTTCTTTAGAACTTTCTTTTCTTTATCGCAACGCATCGTTACGCGCGACTCCTTTTTCTTTCGAGTGGAAAAAGTTGGAGAGGATATAATAATATATTTTCGAACGTTGTAAAAATGATTTTCATTAATCGTAATTCCAAGATTCTTAACGCGATAAGATATTATTTCATCGGCCACGTCACAATACCACGTATCCAGCCCTAACGACTTCAACGCCCATAAATAACACCGCTGCTTTTCATTCGATATCAAACGTTCCCGTTCCACGCTGACATCGACTTCCACCGACTCGATTCATATACCGTTACCATTACCGCATCGAGATCGATCGAGAGCGAAAATGATTCATTTCCAAGAATACCCGTTGAATTCATAAAATTAGACGGATAATTTAGCTCGAGACGAATCGTACTATTTTTCCCTCTTACAAAAATTCCAATCTTTTTCGAGTAGGAAAGGCAATTCTCTGTTCGAGCGTATGTGGGTGGAGCGCGTTGAACAGCTGATCCGGTCGCCGTGGTGATCGGAAGCCGCGTCCGTTTGTACGAGCAGCGCGCCTTCGAATTTCACCCGCATTAGATTCGAGCCGATAACCGTGTATTGTATTTTCAGCCTCCTTCGTTTTTCGATGCTACGACTCGATTTCCGAGTATATCAATACAGGTGTCTATCAACGATCGCAACGAATATTTTATTTATTCATGAAAGTAGGCATTCGAAAGTGTATTCGAGCGTGACAGTTTTCAGAATTTTTTTGTTTTCGCAGAAGGTTTCGTTATTTCTTTTTTTTATTATCTTTCTTTTTATTATCTCGCCATTAAGCGATCAAGGATCGTCGCGTAGGAATTCAAGTAGGCAGAGGTTAGAAAGGAGCGTCGTGAGCTAATACAAAGAGGTTTAATTGGCCTTCGCGAATAATCGGTCGGAACACAGCGTTTCCAACGACAGTGTTGCGCAATGTTTAATCGAAACGAGAACGCGCAACACTGTTGTCGAAACCTTGGAGAGAAGAGGAGGGGGGAAGAGGAGCGTCGGTTATTCGTATCTACGAAGCTGGAATTATTTTCCACGTGCCATCTCCGTTTTGCGACGTTGCGTATTTTCTTCGCAGCGATATCGATCGACGTAAAAAGCGGGAGACGTTAACGAACGGCAGAAATACCGTTACTCAGCAATCGCGATTCCTTCGATACACATCCTTAACCTCTCCTATTTTAACCATTTCCAATCTATAGATCAGAGAAATTTGTGCTGATCGCCGAGCGTTTTTTCAACGAGTCTGTCTATCTATATCTATCTATCTATCTATGTGTTTTAATACAACTTGCCACCACGTTGCCGTAACTCGATTCAAACACAATTTTCACAGTTTTATCTTACGCGTTTACGAATTATCGGTCAAAAATAAAAAAAAAAAAGGACGTAATACACGGTAAAATAGACGTTCGTTCGGACGGACAATTTTCATCGAAGAATGCGAATGGAATAACCTTTCCTCCCCGCTCCCCTTAATCCCCGTGAAAGCGCGCTGGTTGTGTGCCCACGGAAGGTAAGGGAGGAGGAGAGGGGGGAGGAGGGGGCTTGATGAACTTGCCTCGTGAATCACCTCGCCTATAAAAATCGGCGCCGATGCGTGAGAGAGATAATGGCGGGGAGGGGCGGTAACAACAGGTTTGCTTATGTACGCACGTATACACAAACACACGGCCCCGGTGGGGCAGGAAACGGCTGGAACAGCGCAAAGCGCGCACAACCAACGTTCCACTAGGCTCCTAGTTCCTTCCGCGAAGAGGGTGGTCGCTCGCGTTACGATATCGATTATAAAATCAGTTCGAGTTGTTTCGTTGTTCTTTTTATTTCGCCGCGAAGGAAAGAAAAATTTCGATCGAACGCGTTCTCGTCTCGTCTTCCAATTATCGTCGAATGTCGACGCCTTCCTCGAAATGGACGATAAACGGTGAGAAACGGAACGAGTGCGCTTTTTCAATATCCCATACGTATAAACGAGAGCAGCGAGAGAATCGATACGAGATACGATACGAGCGAATTCCTAAGACCCCTCTCTCCCTCCCTTCTTTCTTCCCTTATCTCTGCTCGAACAATCTTTCGAAGCCATGCACGAATCGATGGTTAATTAATACGCGAATCCCCCGCACAAGCGAATCCTTTCGTCGATTTCGCATTCAATTAGGTTTGCCGAATGGCCGGCCGCACCTCCCGCGATACAACGATAGCGCGGGCCGGGAGGAACCCTAATCGATTACGTGGCAGAACGATTGAGAAATCCACCCATTGTTCGCCGATACGATGCGCGATCCTTCGGATTCTTTAGGTTGGAGAACGCTGATCTCGCAGGTGTTCCATCTATCGCCGCGATATCGTGGTTACGTAATTCAGGAATGGAGAGTCGAGGGAAATGACAGACGTTTAATTAAACGGTGGGTGTAGGTTTAAAGAAGGGGGATAATAGGATTACGTAATAAGACGTGACACGTTGCTTCATACGCGCAATTCGTCTCTCGATACTTTCGCTTGTAATTCTTGTCCTACTTTTGTGGTTTCTGTAAATTCGTTCCTTATTCGTAATAATAAATCCGAGCCAGTATTCAAATTCAAAATCTCGTCCAATCAATTTTTACCTACGATGTTGATATATATGTGTGTATGTATGTAAGTAGTCTAAAACTAGTCATAGATGTAAACGAGAAGATAAGAGAACAGGAAGAGGTAGAAAAATGAGATTTGAACGGCGTAATAATCGGGGCGAGGCTTAGCCCCGGATTCGGAATGTCGCAAACCACCGATAGATTCTAATCTATCGACGGAGGCTAAGTTAAGTCGTTCGCTATCTCCCCTCCGTTGCGCAACGCTTTATATCGATCGTAAATTTTGTGGCCGGTGGCCACCGGGATTAATACGTGAAAGCAATTTGGGATCGTTTATCGGGGTACGACAAAAAGTCGGAGCCGATTTGAATTTTGATCGCCTCGGGCGGTGATCGAAAGAAATTCACACATGGGCGTGTTGGAAAACGAAACGCCGATTAATTTACAATCCTTCTTTCTCTCTCTCTACTCGAGTCCGGGAACAACGAAGCTCGCGTCAATTCGATCGAAGCCGAGTGTCGAGAAACGAGATTCGGGGGGGAGGGAAACGAGGAAGTCGAAAACCAGTTGGTCGAAACGTGGGACGTTAATAAAATACGATCCTAAGCCGTTTCGAACACCTTGTAACGCGTTCGCCAATCGTAGACATTATATCTTTATTGTCGCGCGACGCCCGTTTCGCTCCAACGACTTTTTTTCCCACCGAAATATGTTTTTTTCCAACTCCGTTATAGACCTATAATTCTTTTCACGAAAAATACTCGAGTAATGCGCGAATACTCGCGATAATTACGTCGATAGAATAATGTCTATATAATTAATACGATTGTCAATTTCATC